GATGAAAGACATCTATTTTTATCGCCACTCTATTGTCAATCAATTGACTGTTCATTCAATAGTATGATAGATGTTATGAATTACTGTATAATATTTACAATACATTATATTTTTCTCATACATACATCAAAATTTAATTATATTAAATTTTCTGATCATTAACTCTGAAATCTAATCGATTTTTGAAATATAAAATAGAAGTAAAATTAAAATATTTTTATTATTAGGAATATAATTAATGCCTTAAAATAAGAAATATAACAAAAATACATGAATAGTAAATATTTACAGTTGTATTGAAGTTTCTTATATTCTGTGCGTGGGATACCATTACATGTATATCAATGATAGCAACTTTTCGGTTAATATAATATTTATACAGTGCAACTTCTCTTGGGTGAACTTCTCTTGGATGAACACCTCCTCATAATGAACGGATTTGATGTTGATTTATATTGGATTTCCTATACTTATAATGTTAAAATAACCTCTCTTAGGTGAACTTCTCCATAATGAATACCTCCCCATTATGAACGGATTTATAGAGATTAAGATAAGATTTTCACTCCCAATAATGAACAAATATAATAATAAGCACATCATTCCTAAAAGTATTCAAAATAGTTTCTAATCTAAGTCTTTAAGCAAACAAAACACACATTTTTATATAAAGTTTCATTCAATATTGTAAGAAATGTGTATTCATTCTCTGATTAGTAAACTATAAATTATTACTTAATATCGAGAGACGCATCTAATCCTCAAATATTTAAGAATTGAACAAAATTAAAATTAAATCATTTAATTATCCTTATAATACAGTTAAACAAACTAAAATTACTTATTTTTTAAAATAATTGTAATTATTAATCAAAAATTAGACATTTTTACTCGAACCTCCCTTGGATGAACCCTCCCTATAATGAACACTTTTGTCGTGCAACTGGCCGTTCATTATAGAGAAGTTGCACTGTATTGAATAAAGAATTATATTTTAGACTTTTGGCAAAATAATAGATAAACTTTATAGGAATGTATTCTTCATATTGTTATTTAGCTCAGGAGACATATTTTGATAAATCCTTATATTATATGCATTAATATGTTATCTTTTTGAGACAATATTAAACATTGAATACATTAGTCTTATATTTAATGATTCGTTTTATAATTAATTAATGATGAAAGACATCTATTTTTATCGCCACTCTATTGTCAATCAATTGACTGTTCATTCAATAGTATGATAGATGTTATGAATTACTGTATAATATTTACAATACATTATATTTTTCTCATACATACATTAAAATTTAATTATATTAAATTTTCTGATCATTAACTCTGAAATCTAATCGATTTTTGAAATATAAAATAGAAGTAAAATTAAAATAGTTTTATTATTAGGAATATAATTAATGCCTTAAAATAAGAAATATAACAAAAATACATGAATAGTAAATATTTACAGTTGTATTGGAGTTTCTTATATTCTGTGCGTGGGATACCATTATATCAATGATAGCAACTTTTCGGCTAATATAATATTTATATTGAATAAAGAATTATATTTTAGACTTTTGGCAAAATATTAGATAAACTTCATAGGTATTCTTCATATTGCTGTTTAGCTCAGGAGACATATTTTGATAAATCCTTATATTATATGCATTAATATGTTATCTTTTTGAGACAATATTAAACATTGAATACATTAGTCTTATATTTAATGATTCGTTTTATAATTAATTAAATCGTTTAGCAAATGATAGCGTATTTCCTTAGTTATGGGCATTAAATTTAGTTTTGTTTTTCCCAACAAATTCATTGTTATTAGAAATGGCTGTGAAATATAGTCTAAAAGTTTTGCCATTAAATAACAAATTCTGGAATTGATTTGAAGACTATTTGTAACGATTATCAAGAATTTCAAAGCAGAAGAATAATAAATAAATAGAGAGTGAAAAACAAATAAAATATCATAACTAATATTAATTTACATGATATTTGACACAATATAAAGATTGTCCGCAAAGAATCACATTAATTATCGAAATATATTTTTGAATCTCTTTTGACCTCATTTTACGATCGCATAAATAAGTGGAAAGAAATAAAAAACTTAAGAAAATAAACAAAAAATATTGTCAAACCGATAGACGAAAATTCAGTAATGATTTGCTTAATACTTCCGTCATTTCCTTACAATTACTAAAACACTGTTTCTCTCATTAAACAACTTGTGTTATATTGATGTCTAACTCTATTACACATAATAATCATCTCATAAAATGATACGTTTATACCGATAGTTGTTGTGTCCATAAGTTCCCATTATTTTATTATTGAATGAACACTAGTTTTTTTGTTGATTATGCTGTGTTTAAACCTGTTATTCGTTTGTCTGTTTGTTTGCCACCGACTTCTGGCTATAAGTGTGACCATAAACTCACCCAATAGTCAGCCGTCCGTAAACTTCATGGCACTGATGGCACAAACACTTTATCGCAAAAATCATTTCAACAAAAAAAAGTCATGCATTTATTTCAAACCAAAAGAGCCATAATATGATTGGAAAGTAATGAACAATTTGTCAGTCAGTGGTGTATTAAACTCCTGAACATCAACTTTCCATTTGTATTATTTGCTCGAAAAACAGTCCAAAAAAGTTTATACACAACTTTAGCGAACGTCTCAATGAATGTAAGTCTAAACTCAATTCAATTCTGTGTGAAGTGAGTGACGAGAATCCGATGCAACAGAAAACCCGTAGCGTAGGAGCAATTTCGGGCTCTTTAGATGCCTTTTAACAACTTTCACATTTGCCTAATGCATGTCTAACACAGCAAACACTTTATATGAAATATCGTTTTGTTAAAAAAGAAGTCAAATTTTAAATATATTTTTGATGTTAACATTTTATCATTATGTCTTCGTATTAATGTTTAATTTACGTTAAATTTCTTTTTTTTTTAAATTTTAGCCTAACTTTTTGATTGCATTATTTGTGGCCGCAGTTATGATAGTAATAGCGGTTCCAGCAATGGGTGGATATCACGGCCGCAGTTCTATAAACGTATGGCGCGGACCATCCAAAGGCAAGGGGCATAAGAAACACGCCTCCTTTGGCTACCATTTCAAACATCCGGCCCCACAGGGGGGTAAACATCACTACGGATAACCACGTTTACATTGCCTGCATTTTATATCCACTTTGCAATTATTATAAATTGTATTAAATAAGGATTTTATTAAATCTTTTGTTTTTAATCATAAAAGAAATTTTTGTTCGTGTTTTTGCTTTTTTATGTATTTTATATTTCGAAAAACTAAATTAAATTCCGAGTCCAGACATCACTTAACGTATAACTTATTTGACAAAATTTCAGCCTCTATTCAGGCGAACCTTTTTTGTGACATTAATTTGCTGTGAGTTTTAATCATAAGATATTTTGTGATTTAATTTGAGATTCACTTTTGTACTACACTATAATATAACAGTAAACTTGTTTTCATTCAAATGAAAATTAAGTTTTCTCTTACATTAAAAATTATATCTTATTTTTTAAATTGAATTATTATTTTTTAATTCCAATCAAGTGCTGAATTAATTTTATTTTATTTATTTGAGATTTTGATTCAGTAATTCCCAGAATTGAACCAAAGAAACAAAATAATAAAAAGTAAAATAACTAAATAAAAGTCAATAACAGAAAAGTTATGGGAATCGAAATCAATTATTTTTGTTTGTATTTTACTGTTTTATTTACTGTGAGTTGAAATCAATGGAAACCAGGGATGAGTTAACCAAATGTCGGTTCAAAAGGTCTGATATGTTAACGAACTTTATTTTAAAAACCTTAACGTTTAGTAGAAATCCTCCGTTTAATAACAATCATATGAATGAATGGCATTCACTATAAGAATCCCACACACAAAGTGTATGCATGTATTATGTGTTCGCTATAATACAGAATACAGTGTATTTGATTACTTGATCCCACATTTACCGTAATATTAATGTTTGCATTCCTTAATCAATGGGATTCTCACATCTTTGCTATGAATGAGAAACGCATCTCTCTATAGATTTAACCTAATATTAACTTAAAAGGATATAATGCAGGGGCGGCTCAATAGTTGTGGGCATCTGTTTTGTATATACCGTATAAATGTTTATTTCCCAAAACAAATAGTAAGCGAAAGTAAATCGCAATCATTTCGGCCAACAAATTATGGATTTTGTAAGTTTTGCTTCAATTTTCTGCAATCTTTCACAATTTTGTTACATTTGATTGTTTTATAATTTAATTATATCTTTACTACTAATACTGAATGAAAACATTACCGATTAACTAAAACAAATAATTATATTAAAATAAATCATAAATGTAATTATGATTGGTAAACTTGAAAATTAATAAAAATCAATAAATTTTAATTAATGATATTTTAGACCATTAAGAGTGCGATTACTTTTCTAACTATTGTTCACATCAGTGATTGTCAGGTAATTATACTCAGATAAAAGACAATTGTTTTCGCATTAGACAATCATTTATCTATAAATTGGTATCAATTTAATAGATCGATGAATTGAGACGACAACGAAATCCATATGAATTCTTCCAAATAGGAGCCGAAAGTCCGCCCAAACCTGTACTGTATTTGGAGAGTGACATCAATTCCGTGCCTCCTGTGGGCACCTCTGACTTTGTTAGACATTTTGCCAGAGAAACGAGTGGTGAAAACATCAAGAATTTACGTCTTGTGGGGAAAAGCGATGCAAATGTTGGCCAATCAGTTGTCAGACGTTTGCCTCTAATGGACACCGAGGAGGCAAAAGATCCGCACTCTTCGCACCGCAATTTTGTGATCGCCGGCGACAACCAGTATTATGCGGTCCACACATCTCGTGAACCCGAGGCCCCCATCACTGGTCACTATCACAGTTCGTATGCCGACAGAAATAAAGGAGGAAAACTCTATTTAGGAAATCGACCTTTTTATTTTTAACGTGTAATTAAATTAATAATTTTGTGTAAATCTAAATTTAATAAGTTATTAAATGATAATTTTGAGAGAGAGAGAGAGAGAGAGAGAGAGAATATTATACATAGAAAAATATTATTGAAATAATTTTTATTTTATTAAAAATTCAAATCTATTTTTAGAAATTATTTATAATAATTGACTTTATTTAAGCCTTTAATTAAAATACTTTGTAAAGCTTGTTAACAATTTTTAACGCATTAGTATTTTCCCAAAATTAGTTATTTTTAAAAACACAAAGACTATTGTATGTGATAATCGCCAGCAATTGTATTAATTGGTTTAATCTATTGTTTAATCAACAAAAATAATCTATTGTCGCAAATGACAATCACTTAATCACGTGAATCGTATGGACAAAGTTAATAACTAAATCTAGTTTGCCTTCAAATATAAACCATGTTGTGTTACCATTACGTTATTAGCAGTCATTTAAACAATTTATTTTCAAGGCATCGGATAGAGAGTTATTACGGATTATTATTATTAATATATGAGCTCTTAATTCTTGGATCTGTTTTTCAAGGCAAGTGACCCAACCTATCGATCCCTAATATACAACCACTCGCACAACCAATACTATTGTCAGTCTTATACAGCACAACAACATATAACAAATTCTCTCATTAATATCTTTGCTTTCTTTTCATAAACAAAATATTGTATTATTATTACACAAAAATCGTATACATAAATGCGTTTTCATTATACACATATATAACAAAGAAAAATATTATGATTATTAATGATTGCACATTAAATAGAGATCTAATGTTAAGTACTATTAATTGTGTAAATATATTGGTCAGCGATAACCACACTTTCTATGGTCTGAGATTTGAGTTGAGATTGTTTTGTGTTATATAAGTTATGGATAGAAATTTATCAAATATACCAGAAAATAATATTTTAAATGAATATAAAATTATATGCATATCAGACATACATTCACAATGATTGGTATTTATGATATCCATAGGATATTATGTAGAATACGATAAATAGGTTTCTTTGCAGTACAAATGTTTAGAAGAATTTTTGTTAAGAATTATTAGAAAAAGGATGTTTAAAATGAAAATCCAATTTCTATATATAATATGATGTCCTTTAAGTTTTTGGTTTCTTATATTAAAGGGCGGAGTCTTCTCGTTATTCCGATGAATGCAAACCATTTTAGATTTCTTTAGGAAAAGAGAGAAAAGTTTTTTGTTTTTATAGTTTACTCAACATTTTTCTGAAAATACTAAATAAAGTAGTAATACATCCGACAAACAAACTCTCAAAACACATGACACAAGAATTTAAGTCAAGTATTATTGAGAAGTTTTAGGGAATAGCTCTCTATTTCCTATTTCGTTGAATAATATGGTGAGTAAATCACTGGAAAATATGTTTTACTTTTTTATAATCTTTTATACCATTGAAAATGTAATTTTGTATTTGTTGTCCACACCTAATACTGTGTATTACAATAATACTGAATACATGTAATAATGACATCTCAGATATCAATTAGCTATAAAGAGGTAAAGGATTTATAAGTTATTTAAGTTATTGTATAGTTATATACATTTTGTATTTTTAATTTATTCGTCATTTTCTCTTAAATCTCTAAATAAATCCTTTATATTGTCAGGAAAAACTAATTAGTGTAATCAAACACTATTTACTGTAAACTTTAATTACAGTTAAGACCCGTTATTAATACCTAATTGACACGTGACTCTACTCTATATATTCTTCGCGCCAATA